CATTTTGTTATATATAAAAAGTAAAAATAAAAAATATCAGGAAACAATTTATGCTTCTGACCGCTACCAATTCTTGTATAACCATAATTTAGAGATTGGCTTTTTGACCTGAGGAGACAGAATTCAATAGTAGGAAAAGGATGTATACGGTGATAGCTGGTTGTGGTGATGAAGTATAGCAAGAGATCTTCCTGCAAAAGTTCTCACCCAACACAGCACAATAGCCTGTAGGAACCAGCCGGAAGGAGACTTGTACACCTTGGGTCCACCAAGGTGGAATCTTGGCTCTCTAGTGTTACTATAACAGAAATATCACATGTGGATGGCTTAACAAAGAAGAATTCATTCTCTTACAGTTTAGGGGGCTAGAAGTCCAAATTCAGATTGCTGGCTCTAGGGGCTGGTTGAAGGTCCCTCAACCTTGGGCTTTAGCTCTTCCCTTTATTCCAGGTCCACTGGAGCTGTAGGTTTCTTCTAACTCAGGCAGCTGCTGGCTGCTGAAACTGACAAAGTCAAGGTTGGCAGCTAAAACGGCACAGTCTCATGATTGGCAGGCCACTAGTGACTCAGCCAAACGCAGGATCCAGATGTGCCAAAAAGCTAGAGACCTTCTTCAGTACTTTATCATATATCCTGGAAGCAGGTCACACCCCGAAGGCAGTTACTTAGCTGCTCACGGCAGATTCCACCATGGAGGTGATCACAATCCCATCGTGGGGAGTAACTACATCCAGCTGCCCAGCCGCTCAGAACAAGGCCCAGCCAAGTTGACACACAACCTTGACTACCACAGGTGGGAATCACCAAGGCAATTTGTGGGGTGCAGGACTTCTCTATCATTTCCTCCTGGGGATCTCCATCACCTGCTTTCAGACTGGGGACAGCAGATGGGTCTTCAGATGTCAGGAGGGTACAGGTCCATTTCAGGATCAGCTTTCCTGCAGCCCCTTCTCTCCCAGAGGCCAGGAGACTGGTACTGGTCTCCAGCCCTTCTTCCCTAGTCACCCTTCCAGACTCTAAGCAGAGACCTCAGCCCTAGGTGTCATAGTCTCTGTGTCCCAACCAAAACCAAAACCAAACTCATTGCCATGAGTTGACTCCAACTCATAGTGACCCCCATTTTGTTTCCAAGACTGTAAATCCTTTTTTTTTTTTAAATTTTTAATGTGATTTGGGTAAAAGTTTACAGAGCAAATTCATTTTCCATGCAGCAGTTCACATATACTTTGTCTCCTGACATTGACTGGAATTTCCCACAAAGTAAAAGGTCTCTTCCCTGTGTCCATCCCTCCATGCACTCCTGCCCCCTGAGCTATCTCCCTGTGCATACACAGCCCTTCTCTTCTTCCGTGATTGTTCTCTCTAAGGAGTATATCTACCTGATGTAAAATGTTCAGCTCACATGCCTGTCTTTTGTTTGGCTGGGAGCCACAGGAGTGAGTTCAACTCAAGACCTGAAGGACAGCTAGGAGCCATAGTCTCAGGGGTTCCACCAGGCTCTATCAGACCAGCAAATCTGGTCCCTTTTTTTTTTTTTTAATGATTTTGAGTTTTGTTCCACATTGTTCTCCCACCCTATCCAGGATCTCCTAATAGATGCCCCTCTGAGTAGTTGACAGTGGTCAAAGGCTGTAAATCTTTGTTGTGTTGTTGTTATGTGCCATTGAGTCGGACCGACTCACAGCGACCCCTCCTTGGGTTTCCAAAGTAGTGTTACTAAGGAAGTAGATTGCCCAACCTTCCTTCTGAGGAGTGGCTGGTGGGTTTGAACCCTCAGCCTTCTAGTTAGCAGTCAAATGCCTTAGGCACTATGCTACCAGTTGTTATGTGCTGTCGAGTGGGACCGACTCATAGTGACCCCTCCTTGGGTTTCCGAGGCAGTATCTCTACAGAAGTAGATTGCCCAACCTTCCTTCTGAGGAGTGGCTGGTGGGTTTGAACCGCCAGCCTTCTGGTTAGCAGTCAAGTGCCTTAGGCACTATGCTACCACAGCTCCCAAAATGATGCTACCAGAGCTCCCTGTAAATCTTCAGGGATACAGATTGCCTCATCTTCCACGGAGCAGCTGGTGGGTTCAAACCACTGATCTTTTGGTAGCAGCCAAATAAATGCCTTAATCACCACACCACCAGAACTCCTTCTGGGCCCCAAAGGAAGGAAAACTTCAAAAAAGAGCTCTGGACCAAAGAGTGAAGGAGGTAGCACTTAATATTATCAATGTGGTGGTGTAGTGCCTAAGGCATTTGACTGCTAACCAGAAGATGGTGGTTCTAAACCCACCAGCCACTCCTGGGAAGGAAGATTGGGTGATGTACTTCGGTAGAGATACCGCCTCGGAAACCTAAGGAAGGGTCACTATGAGTCCAATCGACTCGGAGGCAATGAGTTTGGTTGTATTACGTGTTCGGCAGGCCTCTAGAATCAGAGTGCACAATGAAGAGGGTTGCCTTAGTTCCCTACCAACGTGCTGACTTAATTGAACGTGAAGTCCATGGTTTTCTTTCAAAAGCTCTGGGGGGAGTCTAACTTGCTTATGAGGTTGTGAGACTGATGTTTTCCATAAATCAATGAACGGAATCTGCAGGGTTAAATTACAAAACGCATCTGAAACCCACATACGCCGGCAGTAACACCCAGCAGTTCACAGAGAAAAATTTTAGATGTCAACTTAAAAATGTGCAAGAGAGAGGTTGCACATGTTATGAATATGTGAATAAACTAAAAAATACATCGAATTGCACACTTCAAAATGGAGAATCATATGGTAAGTGAACTGTGTCTACCAGCCGCGCTGGAAGAGGAGCGCGCGAATCCAAGGAACCAGGAACGCTCCCAGGAGGCTTGGCGCGCGACCAGGGGGTCGCGGGACTCCATATCCCATAAGCCCGCGGGCGCAACTCCACTTCCCACAATTCCCGCGCCACTTCCGGAGCGGCCGGGGCGCTCCCGACGGCTTCCGGGTTTGGGCCTGGCGCTGCGGTTGAGGCGGCGGCGGAGCGGAGCGCGGGCGGCGGTAGTGGGGGGGCCGGCATGGACGTTTCGGGGCAGGAGCCCGACTGGCGGAGCGCCGCCTTCCGGCAGAAGCTGGTCAGTCAAATGTGAGTAGAGGCGAGGGAGTGGGGGAAGAGGCGGGCTCCCGGGACCTTTCCCCCCCAGCCCTCCGTGGCGCGGCGGGCGAGGCCGGGGCCGGCGCCGCGGGGGGCCTCAGGGCACCGGGGGACCGAAGGCGCCGAGGACCCGCGTGGGGTCCCAGGGCGCGGCCCTTGCCCGGCTCCCACCTCCGCTCTCGGCAGTGGGGACAGCTTGTTGGCTTTCGTGGGGCCGAGCTCTGCTCCCCAGCGAGCCCCGGCTATGAGTCATCGCCCAGAGCTCGCTGTTTCGCCCCGTGCGTTCCTTCGATGCAGCCTTCCCCCGCTTGCTTCACGCTGACTGCGAAACGGGGAGGAGGCAGCCCGCCGTGGGTTCCCGCAGGTCTGAGTGCTTCGTGGCTCGCTTTTTTTCCTCGAAAAGCGCAGCGGGGAGAGAGGGGGGCGCTGGAGGAAGGTGGGCGTTTGGGCCGCGGGTGGCGGGGCGCCTGCGACGAGGTGTGGCAGGAAGCGTCTGTCGCTTGAGGAGGGAGTGAGGAGCCGGGCTCGAGCCGCCTCGGCGCTGGCTCAGCTGCGGCACCTTTTTCCTGGAGGCTGGCAGCTGCCGGAGCGCTAGGGCCGCGCCCCCCAGCGATAGTCCAGCCCCGCGCTCCGACTGCGCGGCTCGTTTTCGGGCTGGCCGTGAGTTTACGGGTTGTTGTAGCGTCAGATTGGCGTGACACACGGCCTGGGGAGTGGCAGTTACAGTGCGCGCTTAGCGCCGCTCCAAAACACTAGGACGACGTCGAGACAGTTGGCTCGGGCGGGCCCAGCGCAGCCTTGTCGGAGCAGATGAGTAACAGAGGCTGGAAAGACGAGGGGGCGTGTGCGGGGGCCATCCATCCGAGCGCAGAAAGCGTGAGCACTGCCCGCACGCAGGCTGGGGGTTCTGGGGTTGGGAGGAGAAGGTGGGACAGGAGAGGGGAAAGCAGTGAGGATGAGTGGGCACTGGCCCGTCAGGTGCGTCAGAGAGTTGAATCTGCATTTGGCATGTGTGAGACGCTGGAGGGGAAAAGACTCTCTACCCCTTGGGACAGAGACCAGATGACTCCAAGAAGCCGTTAGGCGGCCACTGTGAGGCATTTGGGGCCCTTGCGGGCTAGGATCTGTCCTTTTTCATCCGTGGGTGGCTAGTCCTAGATCAGTGCCTGTCGCATAAAATGCCACGCATGAAATGGTTGTGGAATGGTGCAAGCAAGAGAGAGATGAGAAAGACTTGAGTTTGCGTTCGTCAATGGCCGAAACTGAAAGAGGAAGCCAGATTCCAGAGAGCGCAGACTAACAGCTCTTGATGATTAATTGGATGAGGGGCGGGGGCTGCGCACCCGTGGGGAAGGAAGGAAGTAGGCGGAAGGCGCGTCCTCTTGCTGCAGTGGAAGGAGCAGGGACTGTGTGGTTAGTGACCCTGGGCATTCCCAAGGAACAGCCTCCAACAGGTGTGCAGACCTTCAGGATCGGTGGATTGGCCTTTGCTGCTCCACTCAGTGAGCCGATAACGACTCATGGCGACCCCAAGCGTGTCACCGTACATCTGTGCTTCTCCATAGGGTTTTTAAAATAACCCACTGCCGTCACGTCGATTCCGACTCACAGCGCCCCTAGAGGACAGAGTGGAACTGCCCCACAAGGTCTCCAAGGCTGTCAGTCTTCACAGAAGCAAAGCCCAAACCACACCCACTGCCCTGGATTTGGACTCACAGCGCCCCTAGAGGATGGAGTTGAATTGCCTGAGAGGGTTTCCGAATCTGTTAACTGCTACACCACTGGTGCTCCTATAGGATTTTCAGTGGCTGTTTTTTCAGAACTTGGTTGCCAGGCCTTTCTTCCGAGGCACGTGTGGGAGGACTCAAACCGCCCACCTTTTGCTTAGCAAACCAGCTCTTCACCTTTCTTGTCATCCAGGGACTCCACACTCAAAGTAGGATGTGTAGATTCGGGAGTTGCCTGTAGGTGAAACTGTAATTTCTGCCAGAGAAGTCCCTGGGGCAAAGATTCTGTCTTTAGGTAATCCTAGAATTTAAAGACAAGAGGGAGGAATTGCCATCAGAGATTGTGGGGGGAGGGTCAGAAGGCAGGGAGGGGAAAATGAATAGTTTTTGGGTGTTGCACTGCCTGGATAGTTCAGAATTCAGCTTCCTTTTTAACTAAAATAAAGTTCTAGTGGTGAAGTGGTTAAAGCATTTGGCTGCTAACCAAAATGTCAGTGGTTCTAACTCACCACCCACTCTGTGGAAGAAAGATGGGCAGTCAGCTTCAAAGATTTACAACCTTGGAAACACAGTGGGGGTTGCTGTGTATGAGTCAGGATTGACTGAGGGCAGTAAGTTTGGAAGTTTTGAGTTCAACTAAAAGGTCAGTGGCTCCAACCCCCAGTGGCTTCACGGGGAGAAAGATGATGCAGCTGGCTTCTGTAAAGATTGACAGCCTGGGAGACCTTCTGGGGCAGTTCCACTCTGTCCTGTAGGGGTGTTGTGAGTCAGAATCACTTGACGCAGTGGGTTGGTTTTGCTCTTTTTGCTTCCAGGTGACTAGCTTTTGACTTTGCAGTTTTTGCATTCTTCATTTCTGATGGCTTGATTTATTGCATTCGAAGGGTTATAAAGGGGGATTTGCTTTACAATACTTGTCACACCTTTGGTTCTGACTTCCTCAGCTGTTTACACTCTTGCTTAAAGTCAGCCATTTGGGAAAATGCTTGGAACCTAAATAATTTTTTTTTTTTTTTTACAATTGTGATTTGGGTGGAAATTTACAGAGCAAATTCACTTTCCATACAGCAGTTCACATACACTTTGTCTCATGACATTGACTACAATTTACCACAATGCAACAGCTCCCCTCCCACTTCCTCCTGTAGTTACCTCTTCCCTGTGTCCATCCCTCCATGCACTCCTGCCCCCTGAACTGTCTCCCTGTGCATAAGCAGCCCTTCTTTCTCCCATGATTGTTCTCTCCAAAGAGTGTATCTATCTCGGGTAAATGTTCAACTCATATACCTGTCTTTTGTTTGGCTGGAAGCCACAGGCGTGGGTTCAATTCCAGACCTGAAGGGCAGCTAGGGACCATAGTCTCAGTGGTTCCACCAGGCTCTGTGAGAGCAGTAAATTTGGTTGTCTCTTCCCCTACCCCCTATTTTTTTTTTTCCCCAAATGATTTTGAGTTTTGTTCCACATTGTTCTCCCTCTCTATCCAGGATCTCCTACATAGAGGAACCTAAGTAATTGATAGGCTATCCTGCTTGGTAAAGTGGAGGGTCAGCTAAAATGGCGAAGACCCTCAACAAGATGGACTGACGTAGTGGCTTCAGCTGTGGATGTTAGCGTAGCAAGGATTGTGAGGATGACACATGGCCTACCAGTGTTCCGTTCTGCTGTACATGGCATCACTATGATTTGGAGCCGACGCAAGGGTACCTAACAACAATTTATAGTTAAGGAGCCTCGGTGGCACAGTGGTTGAAGCACTTGGCTGCCAACCAAAGGTCCGTGGTTCACAACCACCAGCTGCTCCACGGGAGAAAATTTGTTGAGAGTCCACTCCGTAAATATGACAGCCTTGGAGACCCTCTGGTGCAATTCCACTCTGTCCTCTAGGGGCACTATGAGTCGGAATCGACTCCACAGCAGTGGCTTTGGATGGAATTTATAACAGAGTGAGGGAATAAGGAACGTAACAAAAAGAACTGGGGTGATTTGCCAGGATAGGAATGGGGAGACAGGAGAGGCATTTGGTTGCCTGTCTTTGCCTGGGTCTTGAGTATCTACCAAGAGCCTAGAGGCAAGCAATAGTCCATCCCGCTGAGAAGTGCGTTTGAGTTGGGGCCAGGTGGGAGAGCTGTGTGGGGCTCCAGTCCCACCTGGCCTGAGTGGCGGAGGCAGCCTCCACAGCTGCCACTCCACGCGATGCCCGTCGGGCTCCCGCAGCTGCCACCCTGCTCCCCTGTGCAGTCTCCCAGGCCCGCGCTTGGCTCCCCTTCCGGGTCTCTGCTTTGGGGCGTATGCAAGGTGGGGAAATCTACTTCGGTAAAGATTAAGGCGCTCTGGTGGCACAGTGCCTAAGGCTTTTGACTGCTAACCAGAGAGTTGACAGTTCAAACCCACCAGCCTCTCCATGGGAGGAAGACAGGGGAGTCTAATTCTGTAGAGATTTACTGCCTTGGAAACCCAGTGGGGGTCACTGTGAGTCGGAGTCAACTCAGTGACACTGGGTTTGGTAGTTTTGGTTTTGGGGGCGTATGCCGGCCTCCCGCCTGGATTGCTGTCCCTGGAGCTCTCTTTTCGAAACAACTTTTTATCATGAATCGAAGCTGTCCCCCATTGTTCACACTACTAGCTCCTTCTGTTTGTCTGTCTGCTTACGCACCAAACCCTCTGAGAATCCTCCCTTGATGCCTTCTCTCTCAGCCTTTTTGAGTTCCTTCATGGGACCCCAGGCCCTGAAATAGGGCCCCTGTCACGTGAGAGCCTTGTTGGAGCATTCGAGAGGAAGGGTCTTCCCAGGGGGCTTTGTGAGCCACCCCTCGCCTTCTGGCACAGTGACCTGAGCTGGTGTGTAGTGGGACGTTCTGGGACCCCCGCGCTCGGGCTGCTTGGTTACTGGCTGCAGGCAGGGCATGTGACCTCTCACCCACAAAGTGACCAGAGTCTGCTGACTCACCTGGGCATGCTGGAAGGGAAAAGACATTGCACATGCCCGGTGCCTCCTCCCTGTGCCCCTTGCAGGAGTAGGAGATTCTGTCCCCTGGGAGGGAGAGGATTGCACCTCCAGGCCTGGTTGGGGGATTAATGACCCTGGGGCAGACCTAAAGGAGCTGGCAGGGGCACGTGGAGGGGTGAGTAATGTTACTGTTGGTAGGACCTGATTGGTTCGTCATTGAGCCCAGGAGAAGCCCCCTGAGAGAGCCCCTGGCCAGGTCTCCTGGCGGGATTGAGCGTTAGCCCTGAGCACACCTGCTGGTATGCATTCTATCAGGA